ATTATGGATTGTGTAGGTTGATGATATACAAATCATCAACTCGTAAACTGCTTTGAAGAAACCAAAAAATCAAGATTTGCTTAATTCGGGGTGTTAATCAGCCTATACGGATGAAATTTGATGTCAAAATGAAAAATTGCACAAATCTCGCGAATGGTCAGAAATACTATAGATAATCGAAAACGGCAGATATGCGCTCGAGTTCCTTCGCGAGAGAGGAATACTGGTTGCTGCTCCTCTGAATGCTGGTTCGAAAACTGTCTTCCGTATCTGCGAAACGATTACCTGGCTGGAGTTATGAGGTTTTTATGGAGAGAATGCACTATTACGGAGGCTCCAGAACCGAAGCTCCGAATAAAACCGGAGCTGCATGAAAGTTTTTCCATGAATTGCTTAGGCATCGGTTGTTGCTATCGCCTACAATAGAGTATTTGGGTGAAGTTTACCATAGATTTTGTGGCTCTAAAGAGGGCCCTGGAACAAAAGGCTGTCAGCAGGAGGACGGGGTACTAATCCACCGAATGCCTCTGGAAGTTGTATAGAACTCCCCTCGGATTCACTCGCGTGCCAAACATTCCTCTCTAAAGGAATTCCTACAGATAGTCGCCATATCTCCCGATTGATGTCACATTTTTGTTTGGCCATCCGTTTGAGCTCTCGACATTCAGGGTATTGCCGGTCCGCGAATCCACGAAATTCACCTAATGTTTTATGGTGTGCGCGTAAAGCTGCAATAAGGCGGTTTTCGCGTTGTAGGCCTGCCAGCAATTGCTGGTGATGGTAGTACCAGGCCTGATCTACTTCGTAATAAGATCAGCAATCCCGTCTTCGAACGGGAACGAGGAACCACCAGCCACTTCTTCTTTCGTACCCACCAAACCACCACCGATGTCCGTAAGCACCGGCCTCAGTTGTATTTTCTCTTCGTCACGTATGTCTCGGCGATCTCCACAACGTGAAACAATTCTCCTAGTAGTTTTTATATAAATACTGACAGCACACGTCTCTAAAGTACTGACCCCATTGTAGAATGGACGTGTGTCCTATCCCGAGCTCATACATCTTGCCCTTAACCAAGCCAAGTTCTCTCACCTGGCAGTGAAACAAAGCGAACACCTTGGCCATTGGAATCCTGCACTGGCTGATGAACGATCCCCTAAGATGGTAGCGAATGGTTTGTGATTGCCGCTTAGTCCTTAGCGGCAATCTCTTCTTTAGCGGTGCCAACTCTTCAAACCGCTGTTGACTCGCGCATTCTGCAACTTGTAAGAGCGGAATGACGGAGCTACAGTGATAGACTTTGCGACAAAATCCTGAAATTGCATTATATGTTGAGACAATGCTGCCAGAGACGACGCTTTGGCGCGACACGCATCTTGCTGAAAATACGCGGTAGCTGGACCGCGTCATCCTGATGTCCGGACGCAGCTGTAGCTCGTTATCTTGCAAAACTGTTTTTGCTGTACTTGTCCCACATTACACAGTCGAATCATTTCATA